AAATCAGAACACTGAATACATGGATTTGGCGAAGGAGTGGGGTGGTGGAAGAAGAGAGAAATCACAGCCACCTGGAATTACAGCCATCCTAAAGAAAGGAAAAAATGTTATTCCCAATTTATCATCACATCATGTTTTCTAAAGCTGGTTTCAATGAATACTTAAAACACAACCTTAAGTTTCCATTTCAATACCAGATACATTGTGAGTTGAACATAGTTTTTCCCCTCTAGCAATGACCAGATGTAGATTTGAATGCTACAACTGAATGTAACATGTCACATTCAGTTCTTTTTGAAGCAAAAATTAGTCTGAGTGAGGCCAGTGAAATCTCCTTACAACAAATCCCAAAAAGTGGGGGAATTTCTCCCACTAACTCAGAGATTTTCTTATAAATCAGTTACATGACAACCTAGTAAACCTTCAAAGGACTTACGTACTGCATTACGATAAAGATTATCGGCTAAAGGGGTTGCTGTAAATGGAGTTTCACTGTTGCTAGCTGCTGAAAACAAATAATGTGTCCATGGCCATTACAGACAGCATAAGTATGAATGTCAGGGGTGCAGCCAAGCTGTGACTAAAGCCAAAGCATTTGATTTTTTAAGTATACCAAATGTCTATCTGAACTTAGTCTAATCTATACTTGTAGATGCTGACTACTTCAGATTTTGGACTTTAAACCTTCAATAGAGTGGTATAGGTTTACTAAGTATTATATAACAGAAATTATTCCACAGAGTAAGCTTGGTATGATAATCAAACTGAATGTCTGAGCTTTGACAGTTAGCTTTGCCTTTGGAGAAAAGAACTCCAATATCATGGCCAAATGGGAAACACAGAGACTGTCATGATAGTACACTGAAGAGCGCAGAGGTGTGGGTGGCAAAGACAACCTCTTGAAAGACATGAAGCAGACTCTTCTTTACATCTGCCAAGGCAAAGAACTCATGCTAGCAACACAAACAGATCATTCTTCATGATTACCAAATGTTCTTAAAGATTGGTTAGAAACACAGCTATCTGAATGGAATTTACAGTACTTTTGTTGCATATTTTCTTATTATCTCTCAATAAATACTTGATCAGTGTGCCTATTATACATAAAAAAATTTAGATCACTATAAGGCTAAAGTCTTCTCCATATTGCTGGCACTTAGATTATAAACCTGTATGGTTTCAGTATAAAATATAAAAGTGTTCTTACAGCTGTATCCAAAAGGAAATGAAACAGTTGCTACACTGAGAATAAAAAACCAAACCACTTGGAGCTATAAAACAACAACTATCCATTAAAAAAAGAACCCCTCAGGTATTGGCTTGTGAATATACCATCTCCTTTCAATAGTCAGTAGTTTGAATGTATATTCAAATTGGCAATCAAGCCTCCACAAAGTACAATGGAAAATATCAGAAACGCTCTCAAAAGTTGTTAAAATACCACATTAAAAGAGACAAGGAACAGCAAGAAAACATCTAAGAAAAGCAGGCTGTGATACAACAAGCATTTGTTAAGAAAAGCTCAGAGTGCATTAGTTCTGGTGAGAGATATATGAGCAACAGCTCTTACGAGATGTAGAACCCATTCTGTAACTATGGGCTGTCCATATACTGTCATAGTCAGAGTCTTCTGAGAGGTCTGAAGGCTCCAAACGAGAAAGGCTACTGCGACGACCCAAGGAGTCTAGACTTGATTGGTCATCATCAGCCAAGACGTGATTATGCATCAGGTCAGTGCCTTGCCATGCTAAGGATGTATGGGTGAAATGAAATGACAGGTGTGGATAGGCAAAGGTGGGATGAGAAGGAAAACGAACAGGAATAGCCACAACCAAAAAACATGAAAACAAAAGCAAAAGGTGATGGGAAGAGAAGGAAAAGAGAAAATATTGTTAAAAAAATGGCATCAATGTTTATTTATCCTTATTTATGGCTGGGTTCTAAAAATGAACTAGCACAATCCTTAGAATAGAATTAACTCAGCATGACTAAATAAACTTAAATCATGATATTGCTTCCAAATTGCTTCTTTTAAAGTTACTGGTATAAAGGCCTCACTTAAGAAATCTTTTGTAAATTCAGCCCAGCTCCAAAAGATGATCCTATAAGCACCTGACAACAAATTCTGCTCCACATTACATAACAAATAATCTGATTTATGACATTATTTGTAAAAGGAACCATTTATGTGGCTAATTAAAAGTTGCTTCCTATTCATTAAGTGGACATATTAAATGCAAAATAGTTTCAAAGGGTTTTTGACTTACTTCTTCAGCTATCTCTTTGCCAAGAATTTAAATCACCAGAAGTCATCTTAATCATGGGGGGACTAAACTTACCTTATCAATACATAACCACTGTAAAAATTTCAGAGTGGAGAAATGAATTAAATAGGGTCCACTTCCCTCTATTTCCCCCACCTCCCCTCATTCTACTAACCTACTGTGTGCAGTAGATTTCCTTAATAGTGCTTACCAGAATTCAGCCAATGGAAATGAATACAATGGGAAGCCATGTTTGTTAACAATGTTATCAATCCTGGGCAGACCCCCTTTTATTGTCAGCAAACTATAAGTGAACTGGTAATGCCACTATGTTAAAAGGAGGACAACAGAAGGAAGTGGGTACAATATGGCAGAACAGAAACCCCATGAGTAGTTGGCAACTGTGATCAACGAAACTGGTCAAGCAACTGTGATTGAGAAACATGCGGAACTGGGAAGGGGTAGGACGGTTGAGGGTCCTCTAAGTAGACACTAAATGAGAAACTAGAGGGCTCCCTTTATCATTTTTAATGGCAAACCACAGCAACCACTCATTTCTTCCTCGTTCCTTCTTTTGATCAAAGTTAATTCTGCTCCAAAGCCACAACAAGAGTAAGCAGTGGACTATTTTGGATTTCTTTAACTAAATCATAAAATTCTGTGGAGGTTATTACTTCCTAAACATTGTATTTAAATATCTCCCAATAACAGAAGTCTGGTTTAGTTTTTATGATACCCAAATATATATTGAAGATAAATGAATTTTAGGCAAAATATATTATCCTTCTAAAAATTGTTTTTACTAAATATTGAGAATGTGAAAAGAGTTGCTTTCACTATGATTCCACTTCCAAATTGTCTTGATTAAGTACATGACATTTACAGCAAAAAGGATCATTCTCTCTTATAACTATACTTTTTTGAGAATGTTAGGTTTAAAGCCACCAATGATAATAGTCCTTCTGAGGCCACAGAGTGGTTTGCCCATAGTATCAACTAAAAACAAAGTCAATGTATTGTCAAATGCTTTTCTTGTATTAAAGAAATGGAAATAAATAGGCAATGGTATAAGAAAAGATTTGCACAAATTATGGGGCGTTCCTTTCAGGCAGCCAGGAGAAGCAAAGCCAGAAGCATATTACATGGCATTATCTCTTGTAATGAAAAACTGCAGCTTGCACTAAAACACACACAAAGCTCATATTACCTGGTCTGTTCATCTGAGACTACTGGGTTAAAATTTTATTTTATGTAATTGAAATTGAGATGCCTAATTTAAAAAACAAATTTAATATTTAAAACCAAAAAACTGCAGCCAGATTTTATAGCCAATTAGTTAAAATATAATTCCTGATAAGCAAACAAAATGTTAACACCTTAAGTCATGATAATCTATGTTTACAAATTATTTGATTGTACATATAACAAGACCACACGTTGAAAAGTTATTTAAACCTCTCCATTTCTCTCCTACTCTACTCTGCTGACTAGTTACTATGGATAGGCATCTTGACCAGAAGCAGCATGGACAAGAAAAGGACAGTGTTGATGCTTACTAAAAAAGTCTTAGTGCCATAAGGAGGGTATGGTAAAATACTGTCCACAAAAAAGTTTCTAGAGTATCTAAAGATTCAACCTAGAATTCAACTCTGCTAGCTCTAATTTCATAGCTGCAGTTACCTTTTACAAAAGCTAAAGCAGTTAAAATACCTATTCAGACCCTCCCCCCCCCACCCTTTTTTCTAGCATTAATTTAAAATAAGTATATAACACTAATTTTTAACCACCATTTTGTCAGTGATGAAATTGAAGAGGTGAGAATAAGTAATTTGCCTAAAGTCAAGGTGAAAAGGGGAACTGAACATATAAAATCTAATAGGAACCAAATTTTATGCCAGAAATAATAATAATCTACGCTTTAATAAAAAAAAAGTAAGGAACAAAAGTACAAAGGCCATCCTGTAGTGTCCATGGCCATTCCAGAACCAGCACACCCATAAAATGTCAGCCATTCAGGGAATACACATGCCAGCAAGAAGAGGAAAAATAAGCCCCTTTCTAATGAACAAATAAAATGCTCTGTTACATCTGCCTATAACATACTGCATTCCACTCTCAACTGCCTGGAAAGATTAAAAAAAAAAAAAAAAAGTTTTACTGTCCACAAAAAATATTAGGATTTTTTCACTTAAGACAATACGCACTAGACACAGGTAAATTCAAGTGGTAATGAAATCTACCGAATAAGTTAGGAGGTGTCTATTTCAAATATTTTTTTTGAAAATAAATCAGTTTTTTAAAAAGAGAGAGGCCTAAACATGCCTTGCTCCAGGTTTATAGTTCAGATAATGTTAAAGTTGGAAAAATAAAAAACACCTCAACATAATACCAACAGTTTAAACAGCTTAAATAACTGAGTTAATCTTTCACTGTTTTATAAACATATCTTCTCTAAGCAAAACAATGTTTTATAAATTCTGCCAGTACCTTACACATAAATGTTTCCCAGTACAATGTTATCCAGAAAAATCACGCAGTTATTTTATGGATTGCTAAGATCCTTTAATAATGATTTAAGGACTTCAAGTTAAGTCACAGAAACACTGTTCATTAAAAACAGTTCAGATACATCAATGAACTATGTGATGAGCCCAACCAAATGGTTTACTTTAGATCATTAATTCACACAAAACAAAATACCACAATTCTTACTATATATGGTAAAATTAAACTTACTTGAATTGAGTGTTTGTCGTGTTTTGGCACTTGTGCAGTAAGCTTCAATAACTTTTAGAATTTGAGCATCCTCTTCTAAAGCAGCTGTACCTGACAAAAGAACACTTTACAATTTAACTACACTTTATTAGTAGTACAATTAACTGGATGAATGGAAAATCATCAATTCCATCAAAAATGATGATAATTAAGAAATATTTTTATTTTCTTATCAGATAACTGATTTCTAAATATTTAGAAAATAGTTATAGCAAAATATTTTTTAGTTTTTTAGAAGTATTTTCTATCAGCCACGTTTCTGGCTAAGGGTTAATACTGTAAATAAAGGCTGCCTTACTAAGTCATCAAAAAAAACATTATCCCCCACCTTCATAATGAAAAAAGTACAAGGGATAGGAGCAATCAATTCATAAAATAACATAGTCAGTAATCAAAGATGTTTAATTTTACTAGCAAAGAAATGCAAATTAAAACAAAGGATGGTTTCTCACATACCAGCCTGACAAAAATGAAAAGGAAGGACTGATAACTCTCAATGGTGATGTGGATACCGGCAAAGGAGCACTCTTAAGGCCATGGGTAGGAGTGAAAATAAAAACAACTTTCCAGAACTTGACTGCATTCATTTATGGAAGGTTTTTAAAAAGAGCATTCCCTTTGATCCATGAATCATTACTAGGAATTTAACCTAAGAAAGAACACACTAACAACTAAAAATCACCACCAGAAGACTTGTGGTATCAGGAATTTATAAAACCCAAGCTAGGGCTTGAAATTGTCATTCCAGAACTCTGGAATAATAATAATGAAGGCCAGCCTTCATCTATACCCAGAGATCACAGGGACTGAGACTGGAATCTTCCAGACTAACAGCATCTAACGGTATTAGTGACAGGCATAGTGCCTTACACACAGGTGGTACTCAGAAAAGATTAAACATACTGCTATAGTTTTGAATGGAACTTTTTTTTCCCCCTACATTACTTGGATATATATTTGAAAAGGCTTACTTACTCTAAAAAAAAAAAAAAAAAAGGTGAAAAGAATGGAAGCTATTTATAATAATTAGCCTCAATGTCATTTTACAATAATATATACAAGGCAAAGCAGATATTCACTACTAAAAAATAAATTACATTACCAAGAGTTTAAGAGCTACTGAGACAATCATTTACCAGCTTCCCCATAAGAAGTGCCTCCTTTAAGGAGTAAGAAAGAACATTTAACTAACTAGTTTAATTTCAGGACACACTACAAATTTCCATAGGTAGGCTGTTCCCCTCTTTGCCAACAGGTAACTCTCTTTATGAGTGGTATTATCTGTATGAATGGTGTAATCTGATTGTTATTTTCAGTTTCAGGTTAAGTACAAAATTCATCACAAAGTACAGAGAAAGTACTCTAAAGCCAGAAAGACAGCACTGGTTACTATGGCACATATTCAATTTTAAATAGTCATTACTGAATCTACCTTTCACCATAAAGGTTAGAAGAGAGTAAATTAACAGGACAGCACACATTTTCTACATGGCACAGACTGTTCTACAAACTGGAAAATTTCTAGGATTCTGAATATAATAAAGGTTAAATAACTCATGAAATTACAATATGACTTTAAAGCGGTAAAGTTTGCTAAGCACTTACTACATACAACACACTATTTACATAAAGATTATTTCTATAAAATTACTCCTTTAATCCACAAAAATGTTTAGTTTCCCTTTCATCTCACTAGTGCTTCCTTTAGAAGCTCTGGTGGCATAGTATCTAAGGCATTTGACTGCTAACCAGAAGGCTGGTGGTTCAAACCCACCAGCCACTCCTCAGAAGGGAGGTTGGGCAAGCTACTTCTGTAGTGATACCGCCTAGGAAACCTAAGGAGGAGTTGCCATGAGTCATGTCCAACTCCACGGCAGTGAGTTTGGTTTTTATTTTTTTGATGCCTCCTTCAAAACTTCCTTTCTAAGTTCCTTATTTTCTTAACCTCTTAACACTGAAGTGCTTTAGAACTCAGACCTTTTATATCTTTTCTTCTTTATCTACACTCATTGCTTTCATGATTTCAATCTCTAAATAATGATAATAACTCTGAAATGTTTATCACCAGTCCAGACCTTTCCCATGGGTTTCAGAATCATACATCTAATTGTCTACTTGACATTTCCTCCTGGATGTTTAATGGGAATCTCAAACTTAATGAACTTGTCTTGTCCCAACATCCTTCCCACTACTCTTCCTCCGCCACACACACCTAGTTATTCTTCCCATAGTCTTACACATCTCAGTAAACGTGACTCATCCTTGTAGTTGCACAAGCCAAAGAAAAGGCTCGGATCCATCTTTGATGCCTGGCTTTCTCTCACACTCAACATCCAATCCAACAGCATACCTGGTAGGTCAAAGCTCTCCATCTCACTGGGGTTAAGGTGGGGTGGGGATAAGAAGGCTATCTATCTGTTTATTGTAGAATGTTTGGCACCATCCTTAGCTTCTATGCACTGATGCCAGCTTAGCCAGATGAGACAATAAAAATGTCTATAAACCTCAACTGGCATAATATAGTCCACAAAGACAATGTTCTACATCCTACTTTGGTGAATAGCGACTGGGGTCTTAAAAGCTTATGAACAGCCACCTAAGGTGTAATTATTGGTCTCTACCCGACCAGCAAAGAGGAGTGAAGAAAATCAAAGACATAGGAAACAGTTCAAAGGACTAATGAAGCACATGCACCCCAGCCTCTATGACCCTAAGACCAGAAAAACTAGATAGTACCTGGCCACCACTGCTTACCACTCTGAAAGAGATCACAATAAGAGATCCTGAATATATATGAGGGGAAATGTGGAACAAAACTCAATGAGGGGAAATGTGGAACAAAACAGTAATCAGGGTTACTGGTCTGATGAAGGCTGGTGGAACCCCAAGACTATGGCCCTTAGACATCCTTCAAGCTAGAACTGGACTCAATCCCAGTGACTCAACAAGCAGCCAAATGATAGACTTATATACTGAACAGTACTATCGGAGGGTATGCACTCATTACTACAATCAAGCATACGAGATCAAGAGGACAGCAAGTGCCCAGGGATAAAGGTATGAAGGTGAGAAGCGATGGGAAGTAAGGATGAAGGGAAGGGGTCTGTGCAGGGAAGAAGTGAGAAGAATACTGTTAAAATGTGGGGATTCTAGTAAATGTCACAAAAAATAATGTGTATGTATTGTTGAATGGAAAACCAATTTGCTCTGTAAACTTTCACCCAAATCACAATGGGGAGAAGGGAGGAATGTCTACAGACATTGCTAAATGTCCTCTGGGAGACAAAAGTACCCTAAGTTGAGAATCACTACTAGAGGCTCTAAATTTCAAAGAGCTTATGAAATCTGTCCACAGTTGTGCCACCTACATTATCATCACCATTGTCCAGGCCACTGTCATTTCTCACCTGTACTTGGATAACTGCAACAGCCTAACTGATCTACTTTTGCCTCTGTCTGTTCTCAATACAGTAATCTCATGATTCCATTAAAACACAAACCACATCAATTCCTTTGTTCAAAATTATAAATGGCCTCCCATTCACTCAAAGTAGCCAACTGCCCATTACCTTTATGAATCTTTATTATTACTCTCTTCATCACTCACCCAATCAGCCAAAGAAGTCTCCTTGCTGCTCCTTGAACACACCATGTGGGTTCCTGCTTCAGAGTCTTTGTAGCCACTACCTGGAACAACTACCTGGAATGCTCTTTCCTAGATAGCTGCTTGGCTTGCTTCTTCAACTCCTTAAAGTCTTTACTCAAATGGCACCCTTTGAGTGATACCTTTCCCCTGACTAACTTATATAAAATTGTCCCTAGACCCCTGTTTTTTCCTCCTGATCTTTCTCTGCAATACTTAACAACTAATATATTTTTATCATTTACTTATTTTTCTTTTCCTGTATTTATCTTTCTACAAAATTTCAACTCCAAGAGGACAGGGATTTTTGTTATATACCTAGCACCTGGCACATAGAAGGTACTCAATCATTATTTGTTAAATGAATGAGTATCTTACTTGCAGTCATATCCTGAATACTCAGTACAGCTATCTTTCAAATGGAAAGTGCTCGATAAATTCCACAAAACCCTACAAATATTTTTCCCTTTTATAAATGAGTTTGCACAGCTAATAAATGGCAGAGCACGTATTCAATTCTAGGTCTGCCTGATTCTAAAATCTAGCTCTTTTCACTTGAATTTGCTGACTTATCATTTTTTTGCTACAATTTGCTGACTTATCAGACAACCATTCCATTAAATGGTGTGTGAAGCACTGTTCTGGTGGTCAGTATCCTTAACATCTTGCATGCTTATAATCTGAGGGGAAAAAATTGGCAAATTAGATGATAAGGATGATAAGACAGCAAATGTTTATTGAGCAATGTATACATCCATTATTTTATTTAATTTTTCCAGTTTATTATCATCCTACAGAGTTAAGATGAGAAAACTAAAGTTTAGAGATAAGTCATTGCACAGGTCATACAAGTAGTTGAGCTAGGTTTCCAAGTCCAAATCAGTCAGGCTCTGGAGACTATTTTCTTAATCATTATCCCACGCTGCCTCCGTCTTCAACATGATATTCAAACACTGACTAAAAAATGTCTCTCCCATGAGCCTTCTTTGGGAAATGAAATCCTTGAAGGGTTCCAGTAGATAAAGTAAAAAAGAGAAGCAATGTCTCCAGAAAGTTACAATGATCTATAGAATATCTCCAGCATTTCCCTTTCATCATCTTTGATACCACTGAATTTATGAGACTGACTAGTATCAGAACTCCTATGATTAGTGGGAGGAGAGGAATGAGGGGCTGCAGAAATAGAGCAGCAGGAGAAAATGATAGTAGGACAGAGATAAAGACCTTAAAGAACAACTTCTACAGCTTCTCAAGGGCTAGTTCTACTGTCCTATTTGGCTTGACTATACACCATCCCAAAGGTTTGCATTTAGTGCTAAACATTCCCACAGCTATATGTTAGTTAGAAGTAATATCTGATACTCCTTCCTATTACCAACAGGAAATAGTATAGAAGCTGTAAAGAAAGAGGCAAAGGGGGAAAGGAAGTAAATTTTTCTAATCACTTCTAAACATCGCTCTACTTATCCAACAGGTATCAGCTAAGCACTTAAAGTGTGTAAGATGTTCACTCTAAGAGGCTGTTAAGAAAAATCTCTGAATTAGATTCTGCATCTGGCTTTTAAAAGGCTTATACTTGAGTAGTGGAAATCATACAAGCATACAAATAAGCATAATAGAAAAGAAACAGCAATATAATAACGTGGGTGGGGAACACCTTTGGGATCTGAGAAGAACATGTCATATTCAGTCAGTAGATTTTGAGAAAGTTTCAGGAAATAAGGCATTTTGAGAAAGCATGGATAGAATTTCTACAGGCAAAAGGGAGATCAGAAAGAGCAGGTGAGATCCCCAGTACTGTACACCTGGCTTAGGTTCACAGATGAAATGGAGATAATCCAAGGCCGATTTGCTCCTTTTAGTCCCTAAAATGTGATGTAATTAATATATACCCTGTAAGATTATAAACTATTTTATTAAGGGAAAATATATGCACATGCTTTGTTATTAACATTTAGATATTTCGTTTTGTCTTTAATTATAAATCTCCAACTTGTTTGTATAAATGCTAAGATGGCTGCCAGAAGCACAAAGATCAAGTACCAAATTTCCTAAGGTATTATATCTTTAGAAGTCATACTAAGGTTCTTACCCCTGACTTCAGTCTGAAGTCTTTAAAAAGCCATTAATCATTTCTCCATTCTAATGTGATATAGAGCATTTCCTTGTGATAAAGAAACCCACTGTTTCATTCACATTTACTTACTTTTCCTCAATGCAAACTCTTCATCAGAAGGTTTCCGTTCCGGTTTGCGCTTAGGCAGCAGTTTTTTCATGGTCTTCGGACTCTTACTAAGATCCTAGGGAAATTAAAAAGGGGAAAAAAATGTAGAAATACTGCAGAGTCAGTAATTTTTATTTGTGTATCAGTGAGAATTGCTCTTATGCTGTGAAAAACTAAATCATTAAAGCCACTGGTCTGAGTATTCCACTTTTCTCAATATAATTTGATTTTTCTCTGCCAACTTCTGAATACTAAAATTAAGAAGCCATTTTCAGTTTTAGTCATTGGCTAATACTTCCTATTGATTCTGATAAAAACAGGTTTCCTTGTATTACTTGGTTCCCATTAGTATTATAACAACACACAGCAAAGCTGCTTCAGGCTTGTAGGCAGGCTGGCAGAGTTTGGAGGGGAGAGAAAACTGACAGATGGTGCAATGTGTGGAGAAAAAGATCCATACACACTCCCAAGGTAGGTGGAGGGTGGGGCTGCTACTTTTATAGGAGTAGGCTCATTTGACACATCTAACTAGAAATTGATGGGGAAACTCAGGCTATTTTAAAATGAAAAGTAAGTAAACAATGATTCCCTTAAGAAAATGAAGCCTCAAGTAAAAAGAAAACAGGAGATCAGTTATTCGGCTTTGAGAGCAGAGGAACACAGCAACAGAACATTGGCAGTGGATGTTCTCTATCTGGTATGTTCACGGTAATTCAGAGTTATATTTAAAAAGGTAACTGGTCTGTCCCCTGCTTTTGTAACACAAAGACTTTTAAAAAATGTATAGAAGAGAAAAGTGAAAAACTAAATGAGCAAAACAAAGTCCAATGGGTGTGTGTAAGAAGTTTCCATATTCAAGCACGTATGAATTATCAGCATCAAAAAAGGTTAACTTCTGCATCATTTAAATGATATAAACTATTCATTCATCTTAAAATGAGAAATTAAGATTCAGAAAGTGAGATGTGCTATGTGATGAACTAGATTGAAAGCACAGAGTATACAAAGACTGATTTTTAAGTAGAAAAAAAATTTTAAAGCTCTTAGAAATGCAGCACAAATCAGTTCAAGAAGAAATACACACAACATGCGTCCTATGGCTAGAAAGCCTACAAATTAATTAGCTTTCCTAATTCAAGACTAGTGGAGATACTCTTGATAAATAAACCAACGTGAATAAACTCACGTCCTTCTGTTCGACCAGAAGGGTACTTCATATGCAGAGGCCCTCAAAGTCAACACATGAAATGTACCTGACTACCTGAAACTAGGTAAAGCTCATTACAGGCTAGTTCTCCATGAATACTAATCTTCATGCTATGTAAGAATGCTTCTCACTAAATGTCCTGAAGTACCCAGCAATATTGGACAATTATAGCATATGAAATGCTTCTCCAATATGAAGTCCAACAAAGCAATTGCAGCTAGATTTATATAAACTCAAAATTATGTTTACCCCAATACCTCTCTACTTCTTTGGTAGTTTTTGTTGCTGTTGCTCAGATTTGTTTTTAAATTTATTTCAAACTCATTTCCTTGATCTGAGCCTAACAGTTTTACCCTAATTTTTGGTCTAGGTAATTAAAATCACAACAAATTCTTGCCTGCATCACCTCACTTTTCCTTTGGACTGTAAGCACTAAGCTATATAACAAAAAAAAAAATTAGCATTCTTTCAGTAACTGCCAACATAAGGAATTCTTGACATGGTTATATAACTACCAGCAAAAGATATGTCATAAAAAAACAAAAAATATAAAAGGCTGATTATAATATCTTATATGTAGTACTTTGATATGTGTCTTAATTTGTTTAGGGCTGTGAAAAAGTCTATGAAAGGTTTCCTTTGCAAATGTGGCCCGCATCTGGACATCAAGACTTGGTACCTGGTTATCAGTGCTTCAACATAATGTAATTTCTATTCAATAAAAATCTAAATATTTCTCAGAATATATTTCTCAAGATATTTCTTTTCCTTGTCAAAGCAAGTTTAAGTAAAAGTGTACAGAAACTGTTAATACATATTTATGAATAAGAATTTTATTTTTAGACACATGGTGTATCTGAAAATACTGAATTAGAATGAAGAAAGGTAATCATGTGTTATAATTTCTTATACATCAAAGAAGAGACTTTGCTTACTTATTTTTCCTTTTTATTTCTATGTTATCTTCATCTCAAATACCTTCTGGTGACAAACTGTAGGATTCTTAGATAGATTCTTTCTTTAAAAAAGGATGGTAAGGGGCAACAGAATAATATGCAGAAATAAAGTGACACCTGTCACCAATTAGACGTTCAAAATAATTTGAGGCTCAGCAAGAGGCAAAGCAAAGTCCATGTAAAACTTCTTCTACCTCCTCGGTCCTCAAGTTGCTGGAATCAAAGAGCCACAGAAGCAGGACTTGTTGGATGAGTATAGGCTCTTGCTACATAATAAAAGTCCCTCTGTGAAAGTGCACAGAAAGGATCCAATGTTATAAACCCCCTGCCCTCACAAGTGTACTGTGGACCACTCAAGCCCTTGAACCAGCATAAGGTGATGACAAATCAAAATGAAGGCACAACTTTCTTCATAGCTCTGAAGAAGTTAATCTGTATTTTTTTATGTCACAGATAGAAACAGTACTGTCAATATTTCTAAATTCATTAAAAAAAAAAAAAAGAGGTGAAGTATAGAATAATCAATTTATCATGCTCAGCTTCCAAGTTACACTGACTTTTGTTATGGCATAATTTTATAGTGGCTACTAGAATGGTCAAAGGACCTCACCTCTTTGTAACACAGAGCAGCTGAAGGCCGTAGAGGTGGTGCAGGTCGCAGGCAGCTCAGGCTCCAAGGTTTGGGAGTTTTAGGAGGCTCCAAAGGTCCCCAATTAATGGTAGTATGTGGAGTCCCATGATGTGAAGGGTGTGGGAGCGTGTGGTATGCAGGAGTCAGTGGCACTGGCTTGCTGTCTGAATGTTTGCTGGATGGTGTGATTGGATGGGAAGGAAGCTGCCAAGTGTACAGATTTTGAGAAAAGAGAATAAATAAAATATAAGACACTAACACATGTATAGAAAAATAAACCTTGATCAAATAAAATTTAAGTTTGCTGCTGCTGCTTTTTTTTTTCAAACACTCCCAATGAAAGAATCCCCAAATTGTTATCATTTCTTTTGAATCTCTGACTCTAAACAATCAGTTTCTGGTGTCAAATGCAGTTAGCTGTGACATACCTGGGCCACAAATAGAGTTCCTTACACTATTTTGCTTAAGACTATGCATCTGTCAGTACTGAGCAGCACTAAACTGAGTACTTGAAATCCCAAATATTTTATACCTCTTTATTTGCCAAGAGAGTAAAAGAGGTATTTATTGTAAAAATAAGTATTATATAAAAGACTAGACATTTCTTTGTATTGGGCATATAGCTTTAGAGGGAGGACAAAGTAGTCCTCTCAAGTCACGTATTATTTATTGGGCAAGTCATAAATTATTTACTGGCTGGTGATACAGGGGTTGGAAAAACTGGGGCCTGTACACCGTTTTTGTTAAAAAAAAAAAAAAAAAAAAAAAAATTTTACTGGCACACAGTCATGCTCATTCCTTTACTATTGTCTATGGCTGCTTTCATGTTACAGCAGCAGCTGCTGTCAACAGCTGACAACAGAAACCATACAGCCCATAAACCAAAAAGCCACTGCCATTCAGTTGATTAAGACTCATGTTGTTGTTATGTGCCATCGAGTTGGACCCAACTCATAGCAACCCCTCCCTGGGTTTCCAAGGGAGTATCACTACGGAAGTAGATTGCCCCATCTTCCTTCTGAGGTGTGGCTGGTGGGTTTGAACACCAGCCTTCTAGTTAGCAGTCAAGTGCCTTAGGCACTACGCTACCAGAGCTCCCATAGACTCAGTGACCCTATAAAGCTGAAAATATTTTTTATCTGTTCCTCTACAGGGGGAAAAAAAAAAGCCAAACTCTGGGATAAAACAGGTTAATTTCTTTGGCTGGGAGGACAGCTTTAATCAAAACAAAGTTATTCCGAATCTAGGTTCTCGGAGGAACATGTTGATAAATAGTACTTATATTCCTGGAAAACCCAAAAATATTCTATCACATGGACAGTTAAAGGAGAAAATGCTAACTAAGGAACACTCAAAATTGGCTAATGACTTCAAATTAGCCAAGAACAGTAAGACACACTTAAAAGGCAAATAAGCTGAATGTGAATGTACCACCTGAGGTGAAGTCATCATTCCAAAGAACTCAACAGTATCTGAACTAGCTATAAAAATGGAAGCCAGTATGCCACACTAGTCAAGAACATGAGCAATTAACTTTCTATGAAAGCTATACAAGTCCCAGGCTAGTCCTTGGTGGCAGGGTAGTGGGTGAGAATGTGGGTGAGGTTCATAGTATGCTACACACCTATATTAAAATATTTTAATTAAATAATTTGTAGAAAGATAAAATTATGCAAAACATTCCTTCTAACAATAACATCATAATGAAGTTTGATTCTGCTTTCCCTTATTAAAAAAAGTAAAAAAAAGCCATGTTTTATTTTAAAATTAGAATATTATACAAGTTGGATAGAGTTAGATCACAAGGAAAATACAGAATCCACCAAAGAGGTACACCCTAGGAAGAATGAAGACCATTTCAAAAGTTCACTATGCGAGGAATACTGCCTTCTACACAGTGGGGACTTAATTACTATGTCTTGAAGGAATGCCTTCCTTGCTACTGAGTGATACGTAAGGAAATAATGAGATGCCAAGATGCAAGTATACAGCACAGCAAAGTTTTACTTGATAATAAACTTTTATATAGTTTCTGGTTGCTTTTGAGAATATGGATGAAAAGGAACTTCCATTTTTCTTTATAAACATACACACATGTACATACGTATGTCTGTGGAATAAATATAGTTCCATGAAAGCTAAGTATTCATAAAAGGATGGAGAGGTTACAAATGGCACAAGCCACTGAAAATGAAATGTTAGCTAAAGCAAATAAGTAATTTCAACCTCCAAACTGTTGAAATACAAGGAACGACACAATGAAACCGATCAAATTTTTACTCTATACTGACATTTCCTGACCTAAAATCTTTAATTTGAAGCATAATTACTGGGAAAATAAACTCACATAGTAGAAAATGCCCTAATAAAGATCATAATCATTATAGGGATATGAGAAAAGCCTACAAAACTGCAAATTATTTTGTAACTATCATTCATTTTTAAAAAGGTGTGCCTAGTTTTAAAAATGTTATTTAATAATGATGAATATTAAAATAATTCAGGACCAACCTTAAGCATAAAACATCAGTACAAAGAGTTTTGAACACTGAAACTCTGGTATTAAATCTATCTGGCAATGTTATAAGTATATTAAAAAAAAAAAATTATTGAGCTTTTCTAAGACAAGACAAGACTTTATTATTTTAAGGCCTTCAATAAGAATCTGGCCTTTTTCTTAAAAAAAAAAAAAAAAAAAACATCATGTTCATTTATTTTATGCTTTGTTTTAGGAAACATAGCAAACAAAGTTAAAATTCTCAGAAAAGCAGTCTATGAACCAGGGGCTTTCGGTGATTTAGCCCCAAACGCTCCAAAGTTAGTCTTTTAGATCTACTCTTTAAAGAGATGCAGTTTGCAATTCAACCTTCACAAACTTTGTATTACACACAATTTTAGAACTGTTCCAAAATAATGACCACTGTGAAACTACTTACTATTAGAAGGATAAACAAACTATTTACAAAGAAATATGAAGCAATTATTTTGCATTATTAATCAAGAAATTAATCATGCCATAAAGATCCTTCCTGACAGTTCAACCAAAGGCTGATATAGTTTGGAGTTTGGATGAGTCCTTACAGTATGAGATGGCACAGAATGAGGCTTTATCGTGGGATTTCCAATAGACGTGACTTTAGTTTGCTTCTGTAGATGATCCACCCATTCATGTAAATCCTGTTGGTTGTTGCATGACACTAATATCCGCTCAATCATGCTTCCTAGAGTAGATAAGAAAAAATACGCTGAGATGGAAAAGCAGACGAAAAGCCTGCACGTTTAGACACATATACATCACCCAGAATATAACTCAATAATGCTTAAACATTAGCCATCTGAATTACTTAATCAAGAATCCGCCAACAAATAATAATCTAGCTCTCATCAACAGATAGCATTCACAAAAGTTTGTGCCTATCACCTGATATTTCAAATGAATTTTTATGATTTTCACTGTCTTCAAGCTTTGTGATTGTCATTCCTGTTGTTGGTAGCTTTCCCTAAAAAAGACCCCCCACACAAAAGAAAAACAATTAGTGCTCTTCTAGTAAAGAATGGAACATTATTAAAATAAATATTAAATGATATTTGAAATGACAGAGGAATTGTTTATAAACAAACAAAAAAAATTATTTTCTATCAGATACATGTATAATAGAAAAATCTCTGTCTCAAACAAGAAATCATAAAACTATAATCAAGAAATTGAATAAACAAAAAGATATAGAAGATTAGCAAACCAGAATAAAAATAAACTTCATCTGAAAAGTTACTCTAATTATAAACACCAGGACACAAAATATTATACACCGTAATTTAAAAACAAACAAAAAAGGCTAGTGCCTAGAATAGCTATTTTAAATGACTTGCTTTATAGAAGGGAAGCATACATATTTTCCTCAGAAAGAAATACAAAGGAAGTTTCAAGTTTGAAAGCAAAATTAAGCATGGGAAATTAGGGCAAGGACAGGAAATGTAATAGTTATAGTTTGTAGTTTAAACAGAAAATAGAGTTAGGCTACATGTTACACTCAATAGAAAAAATGGTGGTCCTCTTTAAAAAAGGAAGAAACCTGTAACTGTAACAAGAAATGTCAATGGAGAGATTACCAGAAAAAGGATGCAAACTGGTATTTAACAACAAAGCAGCATTTTAAAACAAAATAACATAGCCCAGTTCATCTAAACTATGATGCATGGTGCACAACAAAATCTTTAGAAGTCTATAGGATTTTTGGACCAAGTTGTCTGTGAAACTTCAGTCAGGTGAGGACGACTCTACAAGCACCTCCTAAAGCAGTGGTTCTCAATGGAGTAAAGAGGAGAATTTGCTCCCAGCAGAGGATCTCTGGCAAAAACCTGTCAGGGATGCTCCTGACATCTAGTTGGGAGAGGTCAGGGATGCTGCTAAATGTCCTAAAATGCCCAGGACAGGTCCATATCCCCCATCCCCCAACAAAGAATTATCAAGCCCCAAATCTCAATAGTGCCAACACTGAAAAATCCTAGGTAGAACATCAGACACACAAGATACTTCTGTGGTCAAATGTATTTGGAAAATGTTATATATTGTATACTCCTTTCCTTGATTCATAATGCATATAAGTGTATTAAATGTCTTGCTAAATCCTATAGAAAATAAAACTGCGTAACTGAATTTAGCCTCAGCGTATCTTAAAATTATTAGTGTATAAAAATGTTGCTGTTAACTTTTTATAACATCCTTTAAAGCCAGTTTCTGAATAATATACTGTAGAAATGAACACTGATTATAAACAGACCATAAGGCAACAGTACTTACAGAGGACACACTTCGAAGAAAACAGAACACAGAAAATGGAATAGTAGGGTCCTATTGGTGGAATGTTTTCAGTGGCATGTTGTACCAGTATCAAGGGCAAATACTGTATATCGTATGCCCACTAGACTTAAATGAATGTAAGCCTACCCTAAAAGGCAACTCTTCTCCCTTAGGTTAGAGAGCAGGGCCTTATCTTTAACCAACCCACTCAGAACTGCTATGGTAGGATTAAAGCCTAAAGAAGGGAATGGGATTCTTGGGGCTATAAAACCCAATGATGCTGACTGGGAGGGCTCAGATTTAGGTTTATCAGGGTAATTTAACACAGGATTAGCTACTAGCACCCATTGACAACCCTGACTCAGTAGTAGCAGCCTTAGAAATTAAGAGTTGTTATTTTTCAGAGTACGTCCATATAACATGATTTGCATTACAGATTTAAAACTCTTCTTTTGGAATTAACTGTGAAATGACAACTCCTCTTTGAGCCATAGACATAGTTTTTTGTGGAGGTGCAATCAAGCTACTTCTACTTTTGACTTCAGTATTCACTTGTTCTTATTGAGGACAGTACAAACATGTTCAAAAGAAATGCAAATCAAAGAAAATGAAGTAGCTGACTTATGCTGATTATCTGGTGATTGGCCAGTCCTTAAAAATCTGATGGGGATGGTATTACTTTCTATAATTTCACAGAAAAAAGGCAATGAAACCTTGCAAAGAACATTTACTAGACATACAGGAAAAAACAAGCTACTTATACCACCATTATAAATTAGTAACCAAAAAAACAGAAGAGATTCCCCCTTGCATTCTTTTTCTTAAAACAGCTCTCATATTTACTCCAAGAAAAGCAGTGAAAAAAATAAAAAAAAAAAAAAAAAGATTAAATGATCAGTCACAATAAACAATAAAATAGCATTTAAAAATGTGCATTACCTGATAGATAAAACCACTCATCCTAGGACTGGCAGACAACATTAGTAAAATATTTGGGAAGAGCAGAAGATATCTTTCATTCTTTTCCTAATGTAAAAAGCAAACAAATCCAAATACTTTTTTAAACATGTATTTACATATGTGAGCACCAGTAGGTTCCTTTACCCTATGCCCTGTAAAAGACTATTTCTTGTTCAGGCTTTCCTCTGCCAAATTTTACTAGCTAAATTTAAAACAAACAAAATCATAATAAATTCTCCATTAAGTATTAACATATGAGAAAGACAGAGCTTCAACAAAAGATGAAAAAATAGGCTACTAAGTTCTTCAAAATAAAAATGTAAGAAAGTAAACCAAGTAATAAAATGATCCTGGACTCACAAGTAGCCTGTGTAACATTTAAAAGAAATATTCAGTTAAGAAGTTCAGTTCTGACATTAACTGTTTTTGGTTAATCAAAATTTCCTTTTCATGGTTGAAAGAAATGAGAGAAAAGACTTGCAAAATTTTAGACAGGGAAAGGATCAAGTAGATCCCCGAAGAAAAAGGGCAGAACAAAATATTAAAATCAATTTTGCTCTAATAATACCTGACACTCCCCTGAAATTCCAATTCAATGCTGTGCTCATCCATCCAATAAACTTTATTTAATTTACATGAAAGACTTAAAAGTTCTACTTACACATTAAGCCAAAGAACACTACTACAATTAAAAGACAAGAATTCCCAAAAACCTCAAAGGAGGGACAGAAACAGAAATATGTAGCCATTTTCCCATGCTAACATTTAATCCAATTCACAAAAATAAACCAGAAAGAAAAAAATAAAAAAACCCAAACTCACTACTGTAGAGTCAATTCCGATTCATAGTAACCCTATAGGACAGGATAGAACTGCCTCATAGGGTTTCTGAGGCTATGTGAAGTAGAACCCCACTAACCTTTGGTTAGCAGCCGTGTGCTTAACCACTGTGCCACTAGGGGTCCTTGTAGTACACTAAAATATAGCTATTTCTTATGGTACCTAAACTACAAGACCTTAGTACCTTAGTAGAGAGGTAATATCATTTAAAAATATTTTAGGTGGAAAGGAATATACATTGTAAGTTTCTGTTTTCTTATTGTCTAATGAGTTTCATGCTTGAAAACAGGTTATTACCATATTTTGAACACATTAATTATTTTCCTAGAGGTACAATAAAATTCAAGAGGAGGTAGGTACTTGTGAACCTTGAAAGAAAAACTGCTCAATTTTCACTGTGCAGTGATGTCACAAGAATCTGGTTTGATCTCATTTCAACTGAATCCGTAAGAAAATTGTGATTACCAATTATTACACATGAATAAAAAAGTACAATATATAAACAGTTGAAAACATAAATTCTCCAGAATGACAGCCTTGATACAGAGTTCTTGGCTAGTGACCACATCCTTAAGACCTATTCTGTGACAGACATTTGTATAAACAGAACTCCTTATATAAAAGATTCTGATCTAGATGTCTTGTCTGAACACTATCTCTATCCCTTCTTCCATTCATAAAATACTGAAATTGTATTTCATTTAAATACCAAAACTAAACTAGTATTTCAGTATAGCTCTTCTCTAAACAGGGTTTTTACATTCAGCAAAAAAGATGTGATCTTTCCCTGTATCACAATGATTAAATGATTCTTGGAGATGTTAATGTATAAATAGACTGAGTCTCTACTTCTCTAGTATTTGCTGACTAGCTTGATTAAGAAACAGGCCATTTCTACCAGAAATCAAGGCAACTACAACTCCATTTCTGAACTCAGCTAATTTCTGTGGAAATTTCATTAAAAGGCAATTATGTTTATTGGCTTTCCTAAAGTGGGTATCAGACATAGTACGTCTGTAGGAGATTACTTGCCAAGAAACACAGAATAGATTTTAGAAGAGTTAATAGCTATCATTATTAAGAGCTTACTATGTGCCAAACACTGGGATGGAAACTTTATATGGATTAGCTCATTCAATAAAGACTTTGGAACATAACTGATCTTGGGCTAGATTGAAATAGAGCAAGAATTCAATAATCAGCTCTAAGTCTCTTTAATATACCCTTAAGCCTCTCTCATATTTATCAAGGATAAGAGGTAGACAATAAATTATGTAAGACAGTATTCCTATTAAATTTTACTTGTCATCACCTGACATTCTTTTAAAGTCTTGTATTATAAGATCATAAAATCGTAATAGTTGAAAGCATTTATAATGAACACTGTATGGAGAAATCTTAAAAAGCAATTAGAAAACATATCACATTTAATTTAAATTATGTTTAGCTTTTAACTGAATTTTCACCTCACCTAAGGTATTTTAATAGTTTTAGGGAAAACAATTTAGAGATTAGAATAAAAATAAAGTCAGTTCAGTAACATGTGCCTCGTGTTCCTTTAGTGTTTTTCTCCTACCACTGTTTACATTTAATCATAGCAGATAGGTAACAGAAACCACAGTTAGTACACACTTCAACTACATTACCTCACTTCCTGCACACTGAATCATAACCTGTGACATGTAAATGACATTGCCTAGGGTTTTAATGTCATCTCCCTCCCAGCTTCGGATAGCTTCTGTCAGGATCTGCAACTCCAGTTCTTTCCTTTTCCGTACTTCTTGACACTGGGCCTGAGAAATACAGAAGAATACTGTTAAAAGGACAGAAACATCCAGAATTCTAAGTTTTGGTCATATTGTTCTGAATCTTATTTCTTCTGAGGATAGATAATCTACCAAACTACTTACTTAATTTGCAAGTATAGACTCACATTAATAGAAGCAAACAAATTACTCTGAAATACTAAAAGCTATGTTAGAAAACTAGCAAATCTTACTACTTTTAGGAAGAAGAAATGTGAACTAGACAAGAAAACTATTTTTTCTGTTTTTATTAGTGCTTGCCAACATAGAAGACTGAGAAGAGGGGAAAAAAATAAAAATAAAAAGAGAGAGTAAGTATAATTGGTGCTATAAATAAGACGCATATTTCAAAAAAACAGTTAAGATAGCACGACAACAGATAAATCGGAGACACCAATATTGCGCTTCACACTACATCACTAAAGATGTTATAGATGGAGATTTTAAAAAATGTTTTAAACCATTTTTTAAGTAGCTATAACATGAATTGGGAGCTCTGGTAGCATAGTGTCTAAGGCACTTGACTGCTAACCAGAAGGCTGGTGGTTCAAACCCACCAGCCATTCCTCGGAAGGAATATGGGGCAATCTACTTCTGTAGTGATACTGCCTCGGAAACTTGAGGGGTCGCTATGAGTCAGGTGTGACTCAACAGTACATAACAACAACAATAACATGAATTACTTTGTGCTATAATTTTAACTAGGAGCTTTGGTGGCATAGCACCTAAGGCATTCGACTGGTTCAAACCCACCAGCCACTCCTCAGAAGGAAGATTGGGCAATCTACTTCAGTAGCCATAATGCCTAGGAAACGCAAGGAGGGGTCTCTATGAGTTGGATCTGACTTGATGGCAGTGAGTTTGTGTTTTTTTTTTGTTTATATTTTAACTTAAAAAATTATCTTTCCATTTTTCTGGTGGCATAGTCAAGCAAGAGAATTTACTACTACATGTTTATTATTACTTCATCTGAGTAAACTCTGAATTACATACCACAAGTAATTTTTTCATCATCTTTTTCAGTCAACAAGCAACTTTCCTATATTCACTTTAATAGTGAATAGCTATTAATAGCTACTTAATAGCTATTAATAGTATGTGAGGAAGGAAAGAAAAAGTTAATCACTATAAAAATGCTAAGGCAGAGGCACTGTCTGACTTAGGGAAGGAGGATCAAGATCAACAGCCCAAGGTTCACTCCTTTGAGACAGAGGTCAGACTCCACCCTCCAACCTTTTTACCAATTCTGACACCAAATACTCTACTTTTCTGCTGGGTTCAATAATTCGTGGTCAATGGGTACACAGATCTCACAGACAAATTCACAACTGTGGGGCTTATTAGAGAAGTAATAGCTTTTAATTCAGAATCAGAAATGAGTAAGGATACAGTCCTTTGATCAGGATAGCCTCTTTCCAGCAGTGCTCGCAGGCACACCTCTCTCTGGCTGTTGGCCTCTTGGCCCTGTAGCTCCTTGGCCTCTCTGTGCTGCTCAGGCCAATGTTACAAAGCTCTTTAGCTTCTGCTGGTAAGTGCCCAGAGGCAATGCAGTTCACTAATAAGCCTTGGCCCAAAATTACTAGGCTCTTGCTCTATAGGTCAATAAACCCAGCTCCACAAGGTGTCCACAGGCATCCTGCTCTTCCAGAAAGCCTCCTACCTGAAGGTGCTCAGCCATTTTACTCTATGAGTTTCTCTGTGAGCTGGAAAGCCCACCACATTGACTCCTGCAGGTCACCTGGTTCTGCTGCTACTTCTCAACCACCACTTCTCTGCCATCGCTTTTTGTTATCTTTCCAGTGCTACAGCTTTCTGTCTTCTGGATCTAGGAGGTTCCCAGCATTAAGAACCCCGGGTCCAAAGGATGTGCTCTGTTCCTGTCTCTTCTTCTTAATGGTAGTCAGGTCCCCATTTCTGCTACTGGGATGGCACAGTTTAAGCCTAGAGGGAGGCAAAACTGGCCAATCCCCATGTAAGGTTTCATACACCTTATCTGCACGGCCCCATCCCCACAAGGGTGCCATGTACTTTATTTACATTATTATGAAGCTATCCAATCCCCTTGGTGGGCCACAAGCACCTCATATTTGCATATATCCCTACCCAGTCATCTGGTGGGAGTTACAAAGAAACTTAGTATGACTACAAAGGGCCATATTAAGTAATCCATTGAACTGCAATCACTTACTGAAAGGTTTTTGAAGGCAGTCATGGATTTCTGAATATCTTGTCGATCTGGATGGTAATCCTTTGAATAAAAGAAACACACTATTATTTTTTATAATGGAAAACTTTTCTTAAAAAGGCACTCTGTATAGAACTAACTATTCCAATACTTTTCAGCCCTAAATATGCTCTTTTTTTCTCATCATTAGAAATACTGTTTCTTATTTTTTCAGGGAATTATCATAGACCTAATGATCTCACGTCTTATTAATACAATGAACTTAAGGGAGAAAATATAACAGAAAAATCAAGAGCAGGGGGTGGGCAAACCATGCCTGATTTGTAAATATTTACTAGAACACTATCATACCCATTTGCTTACATATTGTCTGTGGCTGCCTTTATTACAATCTTGGGAAACCCTATGGGGCAGTCCTACTCTCTCCTGTAGGGTTGCTATTGAGTTAGAATCAACTACATGGCAACAGGTCTTATTTTAGCATGGCTGCTACTGTGCTATTACTACTGAGCAGAGTAGTTCCAAGAAACTACAAAGTCTAATATATTTACTAACTGTCTTATTATGAATTGAATGGTGTTCCCCAAAAAGATGCTGAAATTCCAAACCCTAGTATCTGTGAACATGACCTTGCTAGAAGTAGGGTATCTGAAGATACTATCAGTTAACACAAAGTTATACTAGAGGAATGGGTCCTCAGACAATCTAAGTGCTCTCTTTATAAAAGGGGTAAGACATACAAAGGGGAAGATGGTCATGTGAAGATCCATGTACAAGCCAAGGACTGCAAGAAGCTCCTGGGACTACTAGAAGCTGGAAGGGACAAGGAAAGATTCTCCCCAAGAACAAACAGAGAAAGCATGATGCTGACGATCCCTGAATTCATACTCCTAGTCTCCAGAAGGGAGAGACAATAATTTCTGTTCTTACAAGCCACCTGACTTGTGGCAGAGTCTGTTATGGCTGACTAAAGAAACTATAATACATGCTTCTTGACAAAAAAAGTTTACTGACCGCTAGCCAAGAGACTAATTTGAGGTCAAATTTCGGCTAGGCACACAACATGCTACTCGAAAATAAGATAAACATATACTATTATCATGTAACAGTTTTTTTATTAGAGTTACTTTAGAAATTAAGTGCTTATTCACAGTTTCTGATACAATACCACAATGGTATTTAAAAATTAGTTTAAGATTTTACAGCTTTTAGATATTTTCCTATCAGCAACTGTAGATAAAAGAGGAGATGAAGCAAATGCTTTTTTTTTTAGTGTTGAGTAAAGAAGAAAACATTCTAATATTTAACAAAATCATTGTGAAAATCCTTTTGATTTGAAACCTTGGTAAGCTTTTTTTTTTTTGTTCTGGCTTCTAAAATAGAGCATTACTAATGTAATGTACAGCAAATCTTACAACAATGATACTGATTTATGGCTAAGTGAAAGAAATGTAAAAAAGTACCTCCATATGTCTTTCAAGTTCCTTGAGTAATGTAGGATATTTATCTAGGCGCATAAATGGTTTACTGAGGCCTGTGGTCAACACAAGAATTCCAGGGCTATTGGCACCTTTCATCTCCATAAATTCTCCCAATTCCTCGCTGAGCAAATAATAGAACAGTAGAAAAAAGAAGACACCTGTTGTTATAGTTAGGCTCTTATTTCCATTAGCAATAACCAGGATTTGTGAAGTATAAGAGTACAGCACATCATTTATTATTGTGAAGGCTATAGCTTTTATAACCAAAAACATCTGCAGGTTATTTCATAAATACCAAATGGGGGTGGGGTGGGGTGGAGAAAAGGTTCCTGTTACTGTTCTCATTATCAGCAGCAGCAGCAATTGCATACAATATAGAACACGCTTTTTTCACTTTGAAATGCCATTAAAGAAAAGGCCATTTCAGTATGTTAATTTCATATCCAAAAAAACAAAAAACAAAAAACAAAAAAACCTCACTGCCGGAGTTGGATTCGACTCATAGCAACCCCTGGAACCCCTTCTTGGGTTTCCGAGGCAACATCACTATGGAAGTAGATTGCTCAATCTTCCTTCTGAAGAGTGGCTGGTGGGTTTGAACCGCCAGCCTTCTGGTTAGCAGTCAAATGCCTTAGGCACTGCACCACCAGAGATGTGTCCAAATGTAAGCATGCTTTCTTAGAACTATATAGATTTCAAATCTGGGAAACATAACATTTTGATGTTTACCAGATTTGAAAGAACTACAATGGAGTTGCTCAAGTAAAAGTACAATAAACTGAATCAGAGCATTAACCCACCAGATGTGTATTGGTTAAACAAATGTACAAGAGAATGTCTACTGTATGTGTTCTAAGCTTTATGTCTGATGAAGAAGTTATGGTTCCTGACCTTGAATAGACAATGTAACACCATAAAAATGATTATTAGCATTTTAAAAGCATTTTTACATCTTCGTTTTGATTAATCCTCACATTTCGAAAGTAGAAATGTATCCCCATATCCAGAAAAATTAAAGAATTTTAAAAACAAGTGTTTAATATTTTATCATTACTCTTTCATCACCATCTTCCATATATTTCACCCAACTTTTATTATCAACTATGTACTCATGAAGCCTGTATTTTAATGCTTACTATATATGCTCTGAGAGTTCAAATGCAATAGCCATATTTAGAAACACTGGCACAGTCACTGCAAATATGGGTTCAAGCATAGAAAGGATTGTAAGGATGGCACAGGACCAGACAATATTTTGTTCTGTTGTACACAGGGCTGCTGTGAGTCGGAACTGACCCAATGGTACCTAACAACAATACCATTTAGGAAGATTATAAAAAAGTGAGGAGTACTGCTGTGGAAATCAAGCCCAAAGACCTGATTTTGAACTCAAACACTATTATTAACCAACGATTTTATGATTTCTACCAAGTCATGTAAATGCTGAGATTCTTTATCTCTCCATGTGGAACAGATGATCTTTAGGGTTCATGCTAGGACCATGAGTTCATATTTATCACTTACACAAGCATATGCATAATTCCAGACACTTGGAATTGTGTGAACAAGCAGAATGGCAGAAGAGGTAGTACCAGCTAAAGTTACCAATGGGATGTACTAGAAAGAAGACTGATCAGAAAACCTGGATGTGAATCACAGCCATGTCATTTATCCCAAGTAACAATTTTTCTCCTAGTTGTGAGTTGTCTTTTTTCCCCCCTTAAAAACAAAAGACACTTATATCTTTCAGTATTATCAATTAAATCCTAAAATAAATATGAAAATTCAGACAGAATAACTGAGCAAAAGGTAGATATTAAATACAGTTAAATAAATCTCAACCTCAGGGACCCTGCTGCCTATATCTTCCATCCCAACCCCTCTCCATTTCCAAAGTGCCTAAACACTCAAGCTTCTTGGGAAAACCAGATATAATAAGAGGTCCTGGTGAAAATATATAAGGTTTCAAATATCAGGCTGAAAATAAATTAATGAACCACTAGAGAATTAGCCTCACATTTCTTAAACTTGTAAGACCTCTACTGAAGTCTACGTCTATCTAAACACATTTGTATGAAAACCTTGGGTGATTTCATTAAGCAAAGTTCACTGTATTTACAGTCAGTGCATTTCTGTGCTATATATAAATATACCCACCTCTCACTTACTGACTATCTCATCTGACATTTCACAGTTATGACATGAATTTTTTGAAAAAATACTCAGGTAGTATCTCTGATCATCCATATCCCTGGGATGCCCTCCATAGGCCACCTTGAATGATACACACCAGAAGCACCTATGATGACAAGGCCACAGGAGGGATGGTAGTGAATTGGCTGTGGGATGCCTTCTCTCATTCACCTGTGATGTCTCAGTCCAACCATAAAGCAGCTCGGTGGTGATGGGTAGACGTGAGGTAGCTGGTAGGCAGGGGCAGGTCAGGAGAGGGCCTGAAGGTGCCAGGGAAGTCAGTGGTGGAAAGTATTAAGAAAAAAAGAGCCAGGGAAGATGATGGTGAGTAGGGTCCGTGCCCAGGGCAGGTGGTGCTGCAGGTAACACCTAACCACTACTAGCCCCACCCCCACAGGCACTGCAGTGGTGGGGAAGGTGAGGTGAAACAGGGGATTCTGCCATGTCACAAGCATCCCCAGATGTGCCAGGAGGTGCGGGGTGGGGGGGATGGTGAGCTGGTGAGGAAGATGAAGTGTTGGTCCCAACACTCATTAACACTGCTTTTGCATAATGACCTGGGGAAGCATTCTAAGAGTGATTCTTACATACTACCTCCCCTATCACCCTCCCTACCCAGTCTTATCTGTTCAACTAGGGCAAAGTAGAGCAGATATAACAGAAAGGAGAATGGAGAAAGTGGAACAGTTACTTGACAGGTCAGTGTAAGGCATCAAAATAGAGTTTTTATACATTAATACCTTTAAACTCATGCTGAGTCTGTGACACATGTACTATTATACATATTTTACAGATGAGGAAACTCAGTTTAGGCCATTGCTAAAAGAATGTACTCACAGCAGACCCACTTTGGGTTTCTGAGGCAGTTAAGTAAATCTTTCTGGAAGTAGATTGCCCAGTCTTCCTTCTGCAGAGTGGCTGGTTGGTTTGAACCACCCAACCTTCTAGTTAGCAGTCAAATGCCTTACTACACCACCAGAGCTCCTTGACTGAACTGAAATTAGAACACAAATCTACACCAAAGCCTGGGTCACTCTAACCATAACTATAATGCTTTGTCTTTTAAACTCATAGCATCCTCCACTCTGGATATATTCTTTACCAGAAAAGCCACCATATTCTGACAAATTCTTGTTCAGAAAATGTTCATCTCTTTCTGTACTAGATACTCACTGTATCAATCGCTAAAGTATGAGAAGAGTTAACTGATGAATTCAGATATGAAAAGTTCATAGTGTACCAGCATTTTGCTAAGTGTTGAACAATTTATCAGGCAGACTCCTATAAAAATCAAAAGTACATTTCAACTCCTTTAAATACAATCTATAGAGGGCCTTTTCTACCAAGATGAAAACCAAAGTGCAATCTATTCAAGTAATTATTGGTACTTCTAGGTTGTATCTGCAATTTCATAACTACAGTTATGGAAGAGAAAAATTACCAAAATGCTACCCTCATCAACAACCAATTACCTCCCCCACCAAAAAAAAAAAAAAAAGACTAATATTTAAAGATTAAAGTTTTATTAAGTAAAATTAACTTCTTTTAGTGTCCTCTCAACATTCTGGTTATGGCAGAACACATAGACAGTTAAGAAAGGGAGCAGATACCAAAAAAATAAAATACTTGGGAATAAATCTTACCAGAGACACAAAAGACCTCTACAAAGAAAACTATAAAAAGCTACTTCAAGAAACCAT